CTACATACCTTCTTTCTGTGAAAGGGATTTTGTACTGTATTCTATTGAGTAAGCTACATGCCTTCTTTCTGTGAAAGGGATTTTGTACTGTATTCTATTGAGTAAGCTACATACCTTCTTTCTGTGAAAGGGATTTTGTACTTTATTCTAATGAGTAAGCTACATGCCTTCTTTCTGTGAAAGGGATTTTGTACTGTATTCTATTGAGTAAGCTACATGCCTTCCTCCTGGGAAAGGGATTTTGTACTTTATTCTATTGAGTAAGCTACAAGCCTTCCTCCTGGGAAAGGGATTTTGTACTGTATTCTATTGAGTAAGCTACATGCCTTCCTCCTGGGAAAGGGATTTTGTACTTTATTCTATTGAGTAAGCTACAAGCCTTCCTCATGGGAAAGGGATTTTGTACTGTATTCTATTGAGTAAGCTACATGCCTTCCTCCTGGGAAAGGGATTTTGTACTTTATTCTATTGAGTAAGATACATGCCTTCTTCCTGGGAAAGGGATTTTGTACTTTATTCTATTGAGTAAGCTACATGCCTTCCTCATGGGAAAGGGGTTTTGTACTGTATTCTATTAAGTAAGCTACAAGCCTTCCTCCTGGGAAAGGGATTTTGTACTTTATTCTATTAAGCTACATGCCTTCTTTCTGTGAAAGGGATTTTGTACTTTATTCTATTGAGTAAGATACATGCCTTCCTCCTGGGAAAGGGATTTTGTACTGTATTCTATTGAGTAAGATACATGCCTTCCTCCTGGGAAAGGGATTTTGTACTTTATTCTATTGAGTAAGCTACAAGCCTTCCTCCTGGGAAAGGGATTTTGTACTGTATTCTATCGAGTAAGCTACATGCCTTCTTTCTGTGAAAGGGATTTTGTACTGTATTCTATTGAGTAAGCTACATGCCTTCCTCCTGGGAAAGGGATTTTGTACTTTATTCTATTGAGTAAGATACATGCCTTCCTCCTGGGAAAGGGGTTTTGTACTGTATTCTATTGAGTAAGATACATGCCTTCCTCCTGGGAAAGGGATTTTGTACTGTATTCTATTGAGTAAGATACATGCCTTCCTCCTGGGAAAGGGATTTTGTACTTTATTCTATTGAGTAGGCTACATGCCTTCCTCCTGGGAAAGGGATTTTGTATTTTATTCTATTGAGTAATCTACATACCTTCCTCCTGTGGAAGGGATTTTGTACTGTATTCTATTGAGTAAGCTACATACCTTCCTCCTGGGAAAGGGGTTTTGTACTTTATTCTATTGAGTAATCTACATACCTTCCTCCTGTGGAAGGGATTTTGTACTGTATTCTATTGAGTAAGCTACATACCTTCCTCCTGGGAAAGGGGTTTTGTATTTTATTCTATTGAGTAAGCTACATGCCTTCCTCCTGGGAAAGGGATTTTGTACTGTATTCTATTGAGTAAGCTACATACCTTCTTTCTGTGAAAGGGATTTTGTACTGTATTCTATTGAGTAAGCTACATGCCTTCCTCCTGGGAAAGGGATTTTGTACTTTATTCTATTGAGTAAGCTACATGCCTTCCTCCTGGTAAGGGATTTTGTACTGTATTCTATTGAGTAAGCTTCAAGCCTTCCTCCTGGGAAAGGGATTTTGTACTGTATTCTATTGAGTAAGCTACATGCCTTCTTTCTGTGAAAGGGATTTTGTACTGTATTCTATTGAGTAAGCTACATACCTTCTTTCTGTGAAAGGGATTTTGTACTTTATTATAATGAGTAAGCTACATGCCTTCTTTCTGTGAAAGGGATTTTGTACTGTATTCTATTGAGTAAGCTACATGCCTTCCTCCTGGGAAAGGGATTTTGTACTTTATTCTATTGAGTAAGCTACAAGCCTTCCTCCTGGGAAAGGGATTTTGTACTGTATTCTATTGAGTAAGCTACATGCCTTCCTCCTGGGAAAGGGATTTTGTACTTTATTCTATTGAGTAAGCTACATGCCTTCCTCCTGGGAAAGGGATTTTGTACTGTATTCTATTGAGTAAGCTACATGCCTTTCTCCTGGGAAAGGGATTTTGTACTTTATTCTATTGAGTAAGCTTCATGCCTTCCTCCTGGGAAAGGGATTTTGTACTTTATTCTATTGAGTAAGCTACAAGCCTTCCTCCTGGGAAAGGGATTTTGTACTTTATTCTATTGAGTAAGCTACATGCCTTCTTTCTGTGAAAGGGATTTTGTACTGTATTCTATTGAGTAAGCTACATGCCTTCCTCCTGGGAAAGGGATTTTGTACTTTATTCTATTGAGTAAGATACATGCCTTCCTCCTGGGAAAGGGATTTTGTACTTTATTCTATTGAGTAAGCTACATGCCTTCCTCCTGGGAAAGGGGTTCTGTACTGTATTCTATTGAGTAAGCTACAAGCCTTCCTCCTGGGAAAGGGATTTTGTACTTTATTCTATTAAGCTACATGCCTTCTTTCTGTGAAAGGGATTTTGTACTTTATTCTATTGAGTAAGATACATGCCTTCCTCCTGGGAAAGGGATTTTGTACTGTATTCTATTGAGTAAGAGACATGCCTTCCTCCTGGGAAAGGGATTTTGTACTTTATTCTATTGAGTAAGCTACAAGCCTTCCTCCTGGGAAAGGGATTTTGTACTGTATTCTATTGAGTAAGCTACATGCCTTCCTCCTGGGAAAGGGATTTTGTACTGTATTCTATTGAGTAAGATACATGCCTTCCTCCTGGGAAAGGGATTTTGTACTGTATTCTATTGAGTAAGATACATGCCTTCCTCCTGGGAAAGGGATTTTGTACTGTATTCTATTGAGTAAGCTTCAAGCCTTCCTCCTGGGAAAGGGATTTTGTACTGTATTCTATTGAGTGAGTAAGCTACATGCCTTCTTTCTGTGAAAGGGATTTTGTACTGTATTCTATTGAGTAAGCTACAAGCCTTCCTCCTGGGAAAGGGATTTTGTACTTTATTCTATTAAGCTACATGCCTTCTATCTGTGAAAGGGATTTTGTACTTTATTCTATTGAGTAAGATACATGCCTTCCTCCTGGGAAAGGGATTTTGTACTTTATTCTATTAAGCTACATGCCTTCTATCTGTGAAAGGGATTTTGTACTTTATTCTATTGAGTAAGATACATGCCTTCCTCCTGGGAAAGGGATTTTGTACTGTATTCTATTGAGTAAGCTACATGCCTTCCTCCTGGGAAAGGGATTTTGTACTTTATTCTATTGAGTAAGATACATGCCTTCCTCCTGGGAAAGGGATTTTGTACTGTATTCTATTGAGTAAGCTACATGCCTTCCTCCTGGGAAAGGGATTTTGTACTTTATTCTATTGAGTAAGATACATGCCTTCCTCCTGGGAAAGGGGTTTTGTACTGTATTCTATTGAGTAAGATACATGCCTTCCTCCTGGGAAAGGGATTTTGTACTGTATTCTATTGAGTAAGATACATGCCTTCCTCCTGTGGAAAGGGATTTTGTACTGTATTCTATTGAGTAAGATACATGCCTTCCTCCTGGGAAAGGGATTTTGTACTTTATTCTATTAAGCTACATGCCTTCCTCCTGGGAAAGGGATTTTGTACTTTATTCTATTGAGTAAGATACATGCCTTCCTCCTGGGAAAGGGATTTTGTACTTTATTCTATTAAGCTACATGCCTTCCTCCTGGGAAAGGGATTTTGTACTTTATTCTATTAAGCTACATGCCTTCCTCCTGGGAAAGGGATTTTGTACTTTATTCTATTAAGCTACATGCCTTCCTCCTGGGAAAGGGATTTTGTACTGTATTCTATTGAGTAAGATACATGCCTTCCTCCTGGGAAAGGGATTTTGTACTGTATTCTATTGAGTAAGATACATGCCTTCCTCCTGGGAAAGGGATTTTGTACTGTATTCTATTGAGTAAGATACATGCCTTCCTCCTGTGGAAAGGGATTTTGTACTGTATTCTATTGAGTAAGATACATGCCTTCCTCCTGGGAAAGGGATTTTGTACTTTATTCTATTAAGCTACATGCCTTCCTCCTGGGAAAGGGATTTTGTACTTTATTCTATTAAGCTACATGCCTTCCTCCTGGGAAAGGGATTTTGTACTTTATTCTATTAAGCTACATGCCTTCCTCCTGGGAAAGGGATTTTGTACTGTATTCTATTGAGTAAGATACATGCCTTCCTCCTGGGAAAGGGATTTTGTACTGTATTCTATTGAGTAAGCTACAAGCCTTCCTCCTGGGAAAGGGATTTTGTTCTTTATTCTATTGAGTAAGCTTCAAGCCTTCCTCCTGGGAAAGGGATTTTGTACTGTATTCTATTGAGTAAGATACATGCCTTCCTCCTGGGAAAGGGATTCTTCACTTTATTCTATTGAGTAAGCTACATGCCTTCCTCCTGGGAAAGGGATTTTGTACTGTATTCTATTGAGTAAGCTACATGCCTTCCTCCTGTGAAAGGGATTCTTCACTTTATTCTATTGAGTAAGCTACATGCATTCCTCCTGGGAAAGGGATTTTGTACTGTATTCTATTGAGTAAGCTACATGCCTTCCTCCTGTGAAAGGGATTTTGTACTGTATTCTATTGAGTAAGCTACATGCCTTCCTCCTGGGAAAGGGATTTTGTACTGTATTCTATTGAGTAAGCTACATGCCTTCCTCCTGTGGAAGGACTCCTTTAATTTATTCTATTGAGTAAGCTACGTACCTTACTGCTGGGGAATTTTATATTTTATTCTATTATTTGAGTAAGCTACATACCTTCCTCCTGGGGGTGGATTCTTTACTTTAATTTATTATATATAAAAGCTACATACCTTAATCCTATAAGGAATGGATTCTTTACTTTATTATTTTATGTATGAGTAAGCTACATAAATTTCTTGATTTTATTCTACAATATCTGAGTGGGCTACATACCTTTCACCGGGGGATTACGTACTTTATTCTACAATATTTGAGAGGGCTATATATCTTCTTCCTGGAGAGGGATATACATGTGTGTATGAGTAAACTACATACCTTCCGCCTGGGGGAGGGATTCTGTACTTAATTCCCATGCTATCCAGTCGGTTTAATTCCTTCTTGCCTAATGTTTCTGCAAAATTATCCCAATCATTGTTCATATCCCTGTTTCGTTTTGTTTTGTCACCAACAGTTTCCCATGGTGCTTTGTACCAGGCCCGTTCTGCCAAGGCCAGTAATCTTGGAAAAACCATATAATAAAAGTTATCTTCACTTAATATCGTCTCCGACCAAAGATGACCTTGCATTCCTAATAATAGAAGATTATTTTAATATCAGCTTTAGAAGGATATATTAGCACAAATCTACAACATCAGAGTACAGATCAGATATAGTATATGTTTCGTACATCTAACCAAAAAATGAATACATTTAATTTTTTGAACATGGATCATAGATATAAAAAAATACGTTCGCAAAATCATCTGTTGCCATAGACACAGGTCTCTGATATGCAAGATTCACTGTTGAGCGGTCAAAGTACGTAATTGTGTTTTACTGTGCAAGTGAAGTTACAAGTAGCCTTAACACTTTTCGCAGCTGTATCTGAATTTTTTTTTTTTTTAAGTCTTAAAAATTGATAGCAAATGAATAAAGAAACTAAAACAGCAGAAAAGAATGAAGACTCTTGTCCGTGTTTTTTGGATATAAGCAATTGAAAATTTGACGGGAAATGATTCTATAATGATTTTTTATACATTCAACATTGGGACATTTTTTCTTTTAAAATCTATGAACAAATAACAAGGATTTCATAAATTTTCAAAAAATGTATGTTTTGTCAATTAACGTTACAATGTAACTCAAGGCAATATCAAAGAAATACATACCAGCTATGTTTTCTGGTTCTTGTAACGAAGGACATTTCTTGTCATTTACACCGCAGACATCAGATTTACTTAGAGGATCTCCCATTCGAGTTACATCTATGTTTTCATATAAGTTATCCGGAAGGAATCTAAATGATTTGTAAGAGTCGGTAAATCTCGGGGCCCAATACAATCCCCTCTCTTCTGGATCAGGTTCGTAAGGATGATCAAAATATAAATGAGTTGCATGTGACATTATAACCTACAAAATACAAAACCAATGTATCTGTTATACGAATACTGTAACTGAAAAAGACGAGAGGATCTGTCTGGTTAGGGTTTAAAGAATAGAGAATAATAAGTAAATTATGCAGAATAAAGGGTCAACAAAATGATTTTTAAGAGAAAAATGGACCAATACATATAGAATAGAAAATAATAAGGTGGTAAATTATAAAGAGGAGAGAAAAGTAGGCCAAAATCATAAAGAATAGAAAATATTTGGCCAAAAATAAAGTGAATAGAGAAAAATGGGCCAAAATCATAAAGAATAGAAAATATTTGGCCAAAAATAAAGTGAATAGAGGAAAATGGGCCAAAATCACAAAGAATAGAAAATATTTGGCCAAAAATACAGTGAATAGAGGAAAATGGGCCAAAATCATAAAGAATAGAAAATATTTGGCCAAAAATACAGTGAATAGAGGAAAATGGGCCAAAATCATAAAAAATAGAAAATAATTGGCCAAAAATATAGTAAATAGAGAAAAATAGGCCAAAATCATAAAGAATAGAGACAAGATTGCACACGCTGAAATGTCTGGCCTACTATACTGACCGTTGATTTTATGTTGATAGTCCTACATATAAAGTTTTACTACAAGTATCACATTAACATAAATTTTATGATCCAAGAAAATGAGATCAAGGTCAGATAAACCAAGGCGGAAAAACATCTACACCTTTAATACAATCATTCCATACACAGAATATAGATGACCTATTGCTTATAGTATAAAAGAAACAGACCAAACCAAGGAAATTCTATATTGACCAATTAACCATGAAAATGAAGTCAAAGTCAGATGAACCCTGCCAGACAGACATGTACACCTTAAAATCAGTCCATACATCAAATATAGTTGACTTATTGCTTAAAGTATCTAAGAAACAAAGTTAACCTGGAAAACTGAACATTGACCAATGAATCATGAAAATGAGGTGAAGGTCAGATGATACCTGCCAGACAGACAAATACACCTTATAATCATTCCATACACCAAATATAGTTGACCTATTGCTTAAAGTTTGAGAAAAACAGACCAAAACACAAAAACTTAACATAAGCAATGAACCATGAAAATGAGGTCAAGGTCAAATAAAACCTGCCAGACTGACATGTACATCGTAAAATATTTCCATACACCAAATATAGTTGACCTACTGTATACAGTATCAGAAAAACAGACAAAAACACAAAAACTTAACATTGAGCAATGAACTGTGAAAATGAGGTCAAGGTCAAATAAAACCTGCCAGACTGACATGTACATCTTAAAATATTTCCATTCACCAAATATAGTTGACCTATTGCATACAGTATTAGAAAAACAGACCAAAACACAAAAACTAAACTATTACTACTGAACCATGAAAATGAGGTCAAGGTCAGATGACACCTGCCAGTTGGACATGTACACCTTACAATCATTACATACACCAAATATATTAGACCTATTGCTTATAGTATCTGAGAAATGGACTTGACCACAAAAACTTAACCTTGTTCACTGATCCATGAAATGAGGTCGAGGTCAAGTGAAAACTGTCTGACAGACATGAGAACCTTGCAAGGTACGCACGTACCAAATATATTTATCCTATTACTCATACTAAGAAAGAAATTAACATTACAAAAAATCTTAACTTTTTTTCAAGTAGTCACTTAACCATGAAAATGAGGTCAAAGACAATGGACATATGACAGACGGAAACTTCATATCATGGGGCATCTATATACAAAGTATGAAGCATCCAGGTCTTCTACCTTCTGAAATATTAAGCTTTTAAGAAGTTAGTTAACGCCGCCGCCGCCGCCGGATCACTATCCCTATGTCAAGCTTTCTGCAACAAAAGTCACAGGCTCGACAAAAAATTGGCCAAAATCATAAAGAATGGAAAATAATGGGCTAAAAATAAAAAACATAGAATATAATGAGCCAAAAATATAAAGAATAGAGAAAACGGGCCAATAATTAAAGAAATCCGAAATGAAAAAAAAAAACATCAATACCCTGGTATACTGAGAAATAACAGATTTCAAAAAGTTAGGTTCATTACCAATAGGGTATTTTGAAATACGGCCGTATCTTCACCTCGAATTTATTCTGAGAACATACACACTTGTGCACATGGAAACGTTTTACGTGTATTCTATTTGTGGTTTCTTATTAGTTGAGTTTGACTGAAAGACCTTGCGCAGATCTTATATTGGCATTGTCGCAATTCTCCTGATACTAATTATTAAATAAAATGTTCCTTAACTTTTTATTTCTTGAGTTTACCATTTGTGTTGTTATACCTACACTATAACATATAAAAGCAATATAAGTAGTGAATGTATGACACATATAATCTTTAGGGGGTACTGTAATGACCTATATGACATAAAAGGATCAACACAGAATAGCCAAATTTATCTCAGGACAACTTTTGTTGAGGGAGTTGTGACCATAATCCCTTAATTATTTCCTAATTTATAAACGGGGAATTTTAAATGATTATATGTTATCAATCATGTCAGTACCGAAGCACTGATTAGAACTAATGTGTTGGACAGGGTTATTTTCACAGTTTTATAATATCGATCTAAATTATATTTGATGCAATGTTTCAAGGAACTTTTTTTTATGGTTTTGAAGGTACATCGGACAGCGGCAATAAGTATCACTTAACGAAGCAGACAATATTTATAATACTTATACATATACACTACCTTGTAACCAGCATTGGCATAGTTATACGCACGTCTGGCTTCACCCCATTCCCAAACATTATCCCAGGCATTACTGTAGACTCGTTGGTTCTGATACAGTTTTCTATCAAACGGCATACCATCTCCCGCATTAAACCCATCCTCCCATCCAGCCGTGTTAAGTCCGTGATTAAAAGTGATATTAGCTACTCGTTGTGTGAAATAGTTTTTTAATTCGTTTCTGATTGATTCAGCGTCTCCGGAAAAATTAAAATTAAGTTGGTTGCATTTTGTTGAATTTACCCATGCAGTTTTTGCAACCTCATCGCCTCCAAAATGATATATATCCAATGGATGGCCAACAGCAGAATGCATTACTTTTAATTCAGAAACAATTTTTTCAATAAAATCGTAAGTTGACTCAATGCAAGGATTTACTGCATTGTCATTGAAAATTTGTACCGATAAGAATTTAGATTCATTATCTGGATCTATCAATCTGTACTTCTCGGCTTCATTATTATTTGTATTGCTGTATTTTCGGTAACGTGCCTCCATAGCAATGATAGCTGCGCGTGCATGCCCTGGCATGTCTACTTCCGGAATTACTTCAATGTGGCGTTTTTTAGCGTAGCTTAAAATATCTTTGTAATCTTGAATGGAATAAAAACCTGAACCGGAAGTAGTGTTGTAAGGACCAGACCCTAACTGTGGTATCAAACAAACATCTTCGATTTCAGTATGACATCGTTTAGAGCCAACCTGAAAAGTCAGAATACAAAAACATAAGAAAGTTAGGGTCTTTCGCGTAATAATTTTGATAGAATTGAAATTAATGCAGATAGAAAATTTATTTTTGGAGATACGTTTTGCTAGTTCAAACAAGCTCATCCTCACCAAGAAATCAAATAGATCAATAGCTTGAACATGTTGAAAAGAACCAAATACTTAAATTGTCGGTTTACACGGAATGAGTTTTAGGGAAATCATTTTAAGACCTCTTCAATAAGAGATACAAAGCTGCAATAGGAGTGAAAAACTTGTTCTTAAGTTTAAATGATCTGGATTAAAATCTGCTGTAGGGAATGATACAAAAATATGTATCAAGTATACTGCTGGCTGCCAGGATGCTTAGCTTTTCTAGCGAACCGGTAAAACGATACTTGTATCAAGTATACTGCTGGCTGCCAGGATGCTAAGCTTTTCTAGCGAACCGGTAAAAGGATACATGTATCAAGTATACTGCTTGTTACCTGGAAATAAAGCTTTTCTAGCGAATCGGTAAAAGGATACCTGTATCAAGTATACTGCTGGCTGCCAGGATGTTAAGATTTTCTTAGCGAACCGATAAAATGATATCTGTCTCAAATATACTGCTGGCTGCCGGGAAGTTAAGCTTTTCTAGCGAACCGGTAACAGGATACATGTATCAAGTATACTGCTGGATACCTGGAAGTTAAGCTTTTCTAGCGAACCGGTAAAAGGATACATGTATCAAGTATACTGCTGGCTACCTGGAAGTTAAGCTTTTCTAGCGAACCGGTAAAAGGATACATGTATCAAGTATACTGCTGGCTAATTGGAAGTTAAGCTTTTCTAGCGAACCGGTAAAAGGATACATGTATCAAGTATACTGCTGGCTACCTGGAAGTTAAGCTTTTCTAGCGAACCGATGAAATGATATCTGTCTCAAGTATACTGCTTGCTGCCATGATGTTGATCTTTGCTAGCGACGGAGTTTTATTTTATATATATTTATGCATATAGGAAATTTGTTTTTCAAGATACATGTAGGTAGTTAAATAAAAACCTCTCTGATCCACCAATAAATCAGATAATTCTTAATCAATTTGAAATCAAACAGTTTATCAATATATAGAAATAGACCAAACACTTAAAAGGCCTTGTAAAGTTCACGAGAAATGTGATATCAGATACTCGTTGTGTGAAAGTAAAACATGGACATATGATCTGTATATTAATCAGATTGGGTTAACATAACATTTCTTTAAATTTCATTGAGGTTTGACATATAGGGATAACGACTCACAAATTCTAGAAAATATTTTTAAGTATTTGTTTCTCCGTTTCAATTAATTTTCTACAATCTTCCCAGGTGTTAATTCAATTCGTCGTACAATCATTATACATATGTTTGTTTTCTTCGTACAATCATTATACATATGTTTGTTTTCGTCGTACAATCATTATACATATGTTTGTTTTCGTCGTACAATCATTATACATATGTTTGTTTTCGTCGTACAATCATTATACATATGTTTGTTTTCTTCGTACAATCATTATACATATGTTTGTTTTCTTCGTACAATCATTATACATATGTTTGTTTTCTTCGTACAATCATTATACATATGTTTGTTTTCGTCGTACAATCATTATACATATGTTTGTTTTCAATTTCCTTTTCCCTTATCAAACAATTGACTGATGTATTTCATTTTGGTTGCATAACTTTTATTTGTTTAACTAATAACAAGAGTCTCATTAATTTGTGTAGTTTTATAAGACATAATTAATAATTCCATTTTAACTGATAAGTCGATTTAGTACGATATGGTGGTAGTATTATCAAGTGCACATGATTTAAACAGTAAACGATAGTCTGACGAAATCTAGCAAAGCCCATCTTAAAACAGTGACTGTGTTAGTTGCTACTGAGAAGACGAAACGTTGCTGAATGAGAGGAAAATAGGCTGAGCTGACGAGAAGGTGAAGTGTTTTCATTTTGAAGTCTGTCATTTCATGACCATTGAGTCGAAATAAACTGTCTGTATCACTAAAGAAAGCCTTTAATAGCAAGCAGGTCTGTCTCAAGTATAATGTTGGTAGCCGGGAGGATAAGCTTTGCTAGTCGAAATAGCTTTCAATTAATTTCTGTTTGTTACCTACACGATATTTAACTTTTGCTTGATCGGTCATGTATACTGTAACTTTTCCCCCAAGGTCATGTATACTGTAACTTTTGCTTGATCGGTCACGTATACTGTAACTTTTGCTTGATCGGTCATGTATACTGTAACTTTTCCCCAAAGGTCATGTATACTGTAACGTTTGCTTGATCGGTCATGTATACTGTAACTTTTGCTTGATCGGTCATTTATACTGTAACTTTTCCCCAAAGGTCATGTATACTGTAACTTTTCCCCCAAGGTCATGTATACTCTACTTTTTCCCCAAAGGTCATGTATACTGTAACTTTTCCCCCAAGGTCATGTATACTGTAACTTTTCCACCAAGGTCATGTATACTGTAACTTTTGCTTGATCGGTCATGTATACTGTAACTTTTGCTTGATCGGTCATGTATACTGTAACTTTTCCCCAAAGGTCATGTATACTGTAACTTTTCCCCAAAGGTCATGTATACTCTACTTTTTCCCCAAAGGTCATGTATACTGTAACTTTTCCACCAAGGTCATGTATACTGTAACTTTTTCCCTAAGGTCATGTATACTGTAACTTTTCTCCCAAGGTCATGTATACTGTAACTTTTCCACCAAGGTCATGTATACTGTAACTTTTCCCCTAAGGTCATGTATACTGTAACTTTTCCCCCAAGGTCATGTATACTGTAACTTTTGCTTGATCGGTCATGAATACTGTCACTTTCCCCCAAGGTCATGTTTACTGTAACTTTTCCCCAAAGGTCATGTATACTGTAACTTTCCCCCCAAGGTCATGTATACTGTAACTTTTCCCCCAAGGTCATGTATACTGTAACTTTTGCTTGATCGGTCATGTATACTGTAACTTTTCCCCAAAGGTCATGTATACTGTAACTTTTCCCCAAAGGTCATGTATACTGTAACTTTTCCTCCAAGGTCATGTATACTCTCACTTTTCCCCAAGGTCATGTATACTGTAACTTTTCCCCCAAGGTCATGCATGAATGTATACTGTAACTTTCCCCCCAAGGTCATGTATACTGTAACTTTCCCCCCAAGGTCATGTATACTGTAACATTTCCCCCAAGGTCATGTATACTGTAACTTTCTCCCCACACACTTAGTAATACATTATTTAAGGTGAAGGTTGTACAGCGGGTAATATTAAAGGTCAGTTGGGAATGCATTTACAGTGAAACAAGGATTAAACCAGCAAATTTAAAAAGAAAAAAAGAAAAAAAGGAAAAACAACCACAGGCTAACCTCTTCCTGAAACTCTAAATGATATATGTACATGTAGCCAAACTTTATTGCTATCAACCTTATATTAGATTAAATTAAACACACAGAGGTCACCATACACTTAAAGCAACAACCTAATGTGACTTATAGAAATAACAACTTAAATTGAGAATGGAAATGGGGAATATGTCAAAGAGACAACAACCCGACCAAAGAGCAGACAACAGCCGAAGACCACCAATGGGTCTTCAATGCAGCGAGAAAATTCCGCACCCGGAGGTGGTCCTCAGCTGGCCCCTAACTAAAATTGTGTGCTAGTTCAGTGAAAATGGACGTCACACTAAACTCCAAAACATATAAATGAACTAAAATTAAAAAACATACTAGACTAACAAAGGCAAGAGGCTCCTGACTTGGGACAGGCTCAAAAATGAGGCGGGGTTAAACATGTTTTGTGGGATCTCAACCCTCCTCCTATACCTCTAGCCAATGTAGAATAAAGAAACACATAGCAATACGCACAGTAAAACTCAGTTTATAGAAGTCCGAGTCCGATGTCAGAATAGGTAACAAAAGAAACTACTAGTAAGCAAAATAACAATACTCAAATTTAACAAAAACAATATGCAGTAAGACGTCACCAAACGTTATTTACACCGAACTAATGTGTCAAATGAAACTAAAAAGACACCCAGAGGTAACCATAGGTTATAAACACCAAACTGATGTGGCAAATTCAAATAGGGGTCACAATGTGTTAGAGACGCACGCAAAAACTTTTAGAGGCAAATTCAATCAAATATATAACCAAAGGTCACTTTACGCTAAAACAACAACCTTATGTTGCAACTAAAAGACACACAAAGGTTAAGATACGCCTAAACGCCAAACGTATGTTGCAAATTGAACTGAAAGGACACATAACTGTCACCATACGCTTTAAATGTCATACTTATGTGGCAAATTAAACGAAACAGACAACTAAGGGTCTCCATACGCTTCAAACACCAAACGTACGTGGCAAGTTAAATGAAACAGACAACAAGAGGTCTCCATACGCTTCAAAAACCAAACGTATGTGGCAAATTAAACTAAAGAGACACCAGCTGTCACAATACGCTGAAACGTCAAATGCAGGTTGCAAATTCAACCCAAAAGACACATATGTCTTCATACAAAATATTCAAAATATCTACGTTGATCTCAAGCAATTAAAAAACGATAATTGTAAATAACATAAATCGATTTTATAGAAATTTTCAAATTATTTGTCTTTTTTGTTCAATTTTCCTATTTAAAACTAAGATTTCTTTATAAACAGTCATATAATGATTGATTGATTAATGGTTGCTTAACGTCCAGTGGCACATATTTCACGCATGAGTAGAACGAAAACAAATAAACAATAAATACAATAGTAGTTCGTGTAATAGAGATATGGAAAATTAGGAATGCCACTGGAAAATAAGGATATATGGGATAGGGGCAAAAAGTTGACCTTGAACGAGGCCACGTATGGATCCCTCAAAGACTTGTTGAAAGGTTCTCTCTTTACACAAGGAATTGGGTTTTAAGTCACCATTCTGACCGGACGTGGCTGCCAAGTGTTACATCCCACACAGCCAAACGGAAGACCCACTTTGCAACAGTTTTACTGCTGGTTGGAAGAATGCCTCTTAAGTGACTATATGTCTATTACCTAGTCACCCTTGTTTGGGAAAAATGGGGGTGGGGTGTCGTTTAATGAGGTTCAGCTGTTATTTCACGTCCTTCAATTACCTTAAGTAAGTCACCATGATTGGCGGCAGTCAAGTATCAATACAGTGGAAAACATTAAATAAATCATTATATTAACGTTGGTTTATTACTAGTATTTTAGATCGGTAATGTATACTTACCTCAGTTAATTCTGGTAGACCGTCAATTTCAATTCTCCAACCTTCGTCGTCGGCCAGGTGAAGATGCAATTTGTTCAGTTTATACATTGCCATTGCATCCATCAATTTTTCCAGAACTTTCTTTGGAATAAAATTCCTTGCAACATCAATAAACATCCCTCTGAATTCAAAACGAGGCTCGTCTCTGATCTCCATCTGCGGTATACTGCGTCCATGTGACAAAAGACTAAGTAGAGACTGGACACCATATAACACACCCGCATTTGTCTTCCCATTGATGATTACTGATTTTTCTGACGGATTCACAGTTAAAGTATAGCCCTCAGCAGATAGTATGGTGTTGTTAATAGACAAATATATGTTGACTCCATTCGGCGAAGCAGTAGTACTAATATTAAAGCTATATTTATCTGCAAAATGCGTTTGTAAAACGTTATTAAGATGTAAAAAGAAGTAAGCATGTAATTGTTATTCTAAATTATATACAATACTTACACATTAATTAAGTTTCAATTTTGATAACTAGGAATACAACAACTCGAGAGTAAAACACACAACCATTCAAAACACACAGTCAATAGGAAAAAAGTACGAATAACTATATAAATGTAGGTACCTAACAAGTCAATCACACTGTTGTTATCATTGTATCAGAGCATTAAATTAAGTTAGATTTTGTCTACATTGTGTCAAAGCATGATTTTAAACATACAGTATCGGAGCATGTTTGTGTACAATTTTATCAGAGCATGAGAATTTTACACATTGCAACAAAGCATGCTATTTGAAAATATTGTGCCAGAGCAAGAGTTTGTATATATTGTATCAGAGGAAGCTATGTTTAACACATTGTGTCAGAGCATGATATTATGGATACATTTTGTAAGAGCATGAGTTTGGTACACATGTATAAGATCATGTATTTTGAACATATTTTATCAGAGCATGATATTAAGTACACATTGTTTCAGAGCATGAGATAGAGTACGCATTATTTCAGAGCATGCTTTATAGTACACATGTTGTCAGAGCATGATATTTTGGACAAAATTGTATTAGATCATGTGATTTTGAATACGTTGTATCAGAGCATGGTATTTAGTACTTTGTATCAGAGCATGGTATTTAGTACTTTGTGTCAGAGCATGGTATGTAGTACTTTGTGTCAGAGCATGATATTGTGGACACATTGTACTAGAGCATGATATCTAATACACATTGATTCAGAGCATGATAGTCAGAACTATGTGTCAGAGCATGATAGTGTGTACACATTGTACCAGAGCATGATATTTACTACACATTATGTCAAAGTATGATATTTAGATCACATTATGTCAGAGCATGATATTTAGTATATATTTTTTCAGAGCATGATATTTAGTACACATTATGTCAGAGCATGATATTTAGTACACATTGTGTCAGAGCATGAAATTGTGGACACATTGCATTTGAGCATGTGTTTTTAAACACGTTGTATCAGAGCATGATATTTAAAACACATTGTATCAGAGCATGATATTTAGTACTTTTTGTCAGAGCATGATATTTAGTACTTTGTGTCAGAGCATGATATTTAGTACTTTATGTCAGAGCATGATATTGTGGACACATTGTGTTAGAACATGAGGTTTAGTACACATAGAGTCAGAGCATGATATTTAGTACACATTATGTCAGAGCATGATATATAGTACACATTATATCAGAGCATGATATTAAGTACACATTATCTCAAACCATGATATTTAGTACATATTAAATCAGAGCATGAGATTGAGTAGGCATTGTTTCAGAGCATGCTATTTAGTACACATATTGTCAGAGCATGATATTTTGGACAAATTGCAATAGAGCATTCGATTTTGAATACGTTGTATCAGAGCATGGTATTTAGTACTTTGTATCAAAGCATGGTATTTAGTACTTTGTATCAGAGCATGCTATGTAGTACTTTGTGTCAGAGCATGATATTGTGGACACATTGTACCAGAGCATGATATCTTTTACACATTGATTCAGAGCATAATAGTCAGAACTATGTGTTAGAGCATGATATTGTGTACACATTGTACCAGAGCATGATATTTACTACACATTATGTCAAAGTATGATATTTAGAACACATTATGTCAGAGCATGATATTTAGTACACATTTTTTTCAGAGCATGGTATTTAGTACACATTATGTCAGAGCATGCTATTTAGTGCACATTATGTCAGAGCATGAAATTTTAGACACATTGCATTAGAGCATGAGTTTTTAAACCAATGAGACAGCTCTCAACCATTGTGTAAGAGCATGATTTAATACATATTGTGTAAGAGCATGATTTAAAACACATCGTGTAAGATCATGATTTTATACACATTGTGTAAGAGCATAATTTAATACACATTGTGTAAGAGCATGATTTAATACACATTGTGTTAGAGAATGATTTAATACACACTGTGTAAGAGCATGATTTAATACACATTGTATAAGAGAATGATTTAATGCACACTGTGTAAGGGTATGATTTAATACACAATTTGTTAGAGCATGATTTAATACATTTAATTATACTTCACGTAGAAATGCAATATTTTGATTGGCTTATACGAGGGTGTTAATTTACTCTATTCTATGGCAAATACTCTATTACCCTTCACGGAGACGCTTGATCAAGTGAGCGCTTTATTAAATACGACTCTATCCTATGGCAAATACTCTATTACCCTTCACGGAGACGCTTGATCAAGTGAGCGCTTTATTAAATACGACTCTATCCTATGGCAAATACTCTTTTACCCTTCACGGAGACGCTTGATCAAGTGTGCGCTTTATTGAATACGGATGGTTGTTATGTACAAGACGTCATAGTTTATTACTTTGAATTTGAAATTTAATCATCAGTAATAATAGAACATTCAGTATAACAAATTAAATAACACATATCTGAGAGGGTGATAGAGCAGACTGTTACCCCTCGAAAAGACATTGTCAACCTTGGCTTCGCCTCAGTTGACAATGTTTTCTCGGGGTAACAATCTGCTCTACCACCCTCTCAGCTATGTGTTATTTATATAGTGTTAGTGCACGATTTAATACATTGTGCAAGAGTATGGTTTTGTACATATTGTGTGAGAGCTTGATTGTGTTTACATTGTGAATAGAATAGAATAAGGAATTGTGTCAAGTAAGGAAAGTGGCGGTTGTTTTTCACTGGTTCCGATGATCGATAACGTTTGATTTTGTCAGTTGTTATGGACTTCTACCTTTTGAATTTACGTTGAAATTCGGTATTTTTTTGTAAGAGAATTTAATGGCATACATTGCAAACAAGCATCCTACCTTTAAGAAACGAAGCTTCATTGTCCAGTCCATTGTGTACGATTGTCACCTGTCCACTTATATCGAGCAGTTTGGTAGTGTCATGGTTAGTTATTTCTTTTGGAGTTGGTATGATCATTTTCATCTGGACATTAGGATTTGTTGTTTTATAACGTTGATAACGAGCCATGGGAGAATAAGGGTCATATCGATCTGCCTTCTTCCGCTTCCACTGTTTAGCGCTGGTAAACTCCCCAACAAATCCTTCCTTAGTACTATCGATAACACGTGCATTTAGCCCATCTGCTGTTATGTACCAGTTCGGTGGAATGTCTGTTTTAGACACAGCCCAATTGGCTGCATAAAAGGTAATTTCCCTCTCTCCATTATACGGTAATCCGATGAATCCGGTAGTAGGTGACATTGAAAAGAGACAGCCGTTTTCATGCCTCAATTTAAGATTGACATTCGGAAGAATATATCCCTCTGGCTTAGTATACAGACCATCTTCCGAAAGGATGTGCTTAGATTCTACTATGAAAAAACTGAAAAAATAAATTTTCCAGTTGAGTCCTGACAGAGACTTTGACGCGTTGTTGTTGAACGTCACTTTAAAGAGATGCCGACTTCCATCATCAAGATTCTCGACAACGTCAACTTTTATTTCCAACCCAGCAGCGATTGTATCTAAATCAGGTTGTGTTACTATCTGTGAATTTACATAACCTGAAATAGAAAAACAATAGAAATTCATTGTGATGAACGAAACACAAATCATTAGCCATCAATTCAGCCATTACTATTGTAGTTTCATCGAAGTTTAATCTATTACCCCGTTAGCACATACTTACAACTTCTCGTCCAATCAAATTGCTTATATTTGCCTTCTAATTTTCATAGTACATACTTTTTCCATGTACTAAGTAACTACGCATGAATGACCACAAGGGTAAGATTTCATTGTATCGTAATCAAGATATTAAAACAAAAATTGCTACTGGCTATTTTGAAATAAATGCTGTGTTACAAATTAAACTAAATAGTGTGTAACTAGTTTTCAAATTGTTTTTCAAACATCCTACTATTTAATCTTTGGATCTAAAAATGTTTTTGACGATTAAAAGTTTCTTTCATTTAAATAAAGAGTAACACATATGTTTTTTTTTATACCTTGATTAGAGTACAACGCCATCTGAAAATTGTAATCATTTATCTTCCATGCAATTACTTTGTACACAAAAAAGAGTGAACCATGAAACCTTGTGAAGGAAAATTACAGCAATTTGATATATTTCGTCATGAATTGATTGATTATTGGTTGCTTAATGTCCAGTGACAAATATTTCATGCATGTAAACTATCCACTAGACTACCTATGGGTACATACCAGGGCAGATCCAGTCATTTTTAAAAGGGGTTCCAACCCAAGATAAAAGGGGGGTCCAACTGTATGTCCTCATTCAAAAGCATTGATCATCACAAAAAGGGCGTTTTCCATCCCCCTCCTGAACTCCCCCTACCCCTTTTTGGATCCGCCAGTGCAAACTATCCATATGTGTAAAATTTATTATAGTTTTAGTTTTTAGGTGAAATTGAAAAAAATGTTTTCAAGATTGTAAAGCTTCCACTGCAATTTAATTATTGCCTGCTTTTGGTCAATTTATTTTGTCATCTTACCATGTGAAGAAGTACATGAATAGTAAAACACCGCTTTATGTCAATAAACATACTTACACCAGCAGCTACCATCTTTTCATTCTGGATTCAATATTTTACAATGATACTAGTGAGTAGATTTACAAAACTACGTACATGAGCTACACCTAGTCAGCCAAAACATATCAATAGACTAATTACAGGATTACTCAAGTTGTAAATATGTGCTAAATTGGATAGTGTATGGAAAGGTATATACTATGAAATTAAGAGCTCGGGGCAAGCCCCTCGCTCTAAATTTCATAGTATATACCTTTCCATACACTAACCGACACTTCTTGATAGTCCTAGGGCAGCCAGCCTTATCATGATTATTCTGTCAATAAATGTAACTGTAACCAGCGATGACTGATTATCTTGTTAACAAGTCATTAGTTTTATTCTTTGACATAGTAATATTCTACAAAAGTATAACACATTTATAGTAATCGTCAATTACACAGCGATCTTATGAACAAAGGGAGATTTGGAATAATCGTTAATGACACAACGATCTTATGAACAAAGGGAGATTTGGAGAAATCATCAATGACTCAGCGATCTTATGAACAAAGGGAGATTTGGAATAATCGTCAATAACACAGCGATCTTATGAACAAAGGGAGATTTGGAGTAATCGTGTATGACATAGCGATCGTATGACCAAACGGAGATTTGGAGTTATCGTCAATGACACAGAGATTGATTGAACAAACGGAGATTTGGAGTAATCGTCAATAACACAGCGATCTTATGAAGAAACGGAGATTTGGAGCAATCGTCAATGACACAGCGATCTTATGAACAAACAGAGATTTGGATTTATCGTCAACAACACTTTTTAGACCAGATTTAGATTTAGACCACAATTTAACTGATTGAAAGATCATATCTTTATCATATGAAAATCAAGCACAATCCCACCCATTAGGGGTTTAATATCATACCATCATAAAATATACGAGAAGAACATAACCCGTATAATGCCAACAACTGGTTTTAGAATAAATGTGTTTATTTCCGGTGCAAAGACCTTATGAGTGAATCAATATTAATTCCAAAAATGCCATCTTTAATGACATTACAACAGTATCGTTACTATATCCCTTCTGAATAAGTCTGTTTAAAGGTTTGAATACAGATATCAAGATCTAGGAAAAGGCAGTGTTCATTGTTAGTATTAGCTTTATTTAAAGTCAGCAGGATAAATCTCTTTAGCGTACATACTGAGGTCGTCATTATTGATAGCCAATATATCATCTATTATCTAAATGTATTATCCAATTTTTGTATCAGATTTTGTTTCGATGGGTCTTTACTGATTTTAGTCATAAATTGTAACTCGTAACAATACAGAAACAGGTCCGTAATAAATTGTCCACAGTTAGTCCCCATTGGAATTCCAATTAGATGTTTATTAGAGTAATTGTCCTTACTTTCTATCAAATTTACGTGCTAGCCCAGAGGGCGTGTGGTCATGGCTTCATTTGCAGTCTCGGTAACACTAAAGTTTTTACAATTGATATTTGCCGCCGCTTCACTATTAAGCAGGCGGCATCTTAAAGTAGCCCAGTACTGATCGGGTCGGAGCATATAATTGACCACCAAACTCTTTTATTATAATAGAATTGTGTTTCTTGTTATTTGAACATCATGTGTAATCATTATGCAAGGTATACAATGGCACTGATCTATAATTACAGGTAATGTATTATAAGAATTAATGATAGAAAAAAAAACATTCCTTAGTTAGTTTGAAAAAAAAACTATTTACATGTATGTATGCGATGCGAAATGAAACTTTTGACGGTTGTGAGTATGTATATATGATATATATATATATATAAAAAAATGAAAAAAATAACCTTCCATCCAAAACAATTGTACACAAAGAAATTATCTACATATAAATAACTGTGACAATTTTTATTTACCAGTTGTAAATTTTAAGCAGGATTACGGATTTCTAACTTTGAAATATTATTAAATGAAATGACATTTCATTATATTGATAATGAGTTTTCTGAATTCAAGATGAGGTTCAGTCATAATTTTCTTCAACATGACTTAAGTACACATAGACCCGGGATAAACGTCCCACGTCTTTCGTAAGGAAAGGAAACAGATAAAAATAAAAGATAAGAAATATTTCGGTTAAATCAACAAGACGATTTGCGACGGAAGTAAGGGATGACTAGGAATGATTGATTAGAGATAAACGCGTTATCATATACCTTATCTAAAGCCTGTACTTTAATGTGTAAAGTTTGACGTATATACTGACCACTCTGGCGACAATAGATAGACAGATAGAAAAAATGAATAAACAAATTAAAAATAATTATGAAAAAAAGGGTAAGGTTTCGTCTTATTTTCTTTGCCAATCGTAAATATAAGTTGAATTGCTAACTATTGCTCCCTAATAATACCCTGGTAAAGTATTTGGTAAGCAGTAAAATGATGAGTGATGGATGTAAAACCACATCACACGGTTCAACACATGCTTACATGAAGGTTAAGTTCATATTTCAGAAAGCCTTGAGATGACGTCACAGAGATAAATGCGACCAAGATTTCATACACGACCATTTTGTGTTAGAATATATAAGTTTTCGGTTAACAGGAAGTTGGTAGGCGGTATATCTGAAAATGAATCACACAATAGAACATGCTCACATGAACCATGATACTAAATTTAAAGAAGCTCAGATTTGTGATTTTTTAAAATATTGAACGAACGGACTGACGGTCGTAAAGCAGCCGTACAACCCATTTTTTTAGGAACCCCATTCTTTTAGGAGTGGTGTGATAATAATAATAGTGATTAAAAAAGACGGTAAGTGTTAAATCTTTTTATGATTAAGGATATTTTTGGTGATTGACATCCTTTTATATAAATTAAAACCTCTGAATTCCAGAAGGAATTCCATGACAATATCCGACAGACCCTTATTGTTCTTAGGTAAGACGACAAATACTTTTTTGTAGGTCTTGTTTTAACTCGTATTATGAAAATTGTCAATATCAATTTTAAAAGTATAACAATGAACCAATTGAATTCTGCACAGATGAATGCACCATGCATCACATCCGGGTAATTTGTGTATATTATAAACAATGAAGACCTTCAGGCTGAATTCTACCACTTGTTAGAACTTTTGTATAAGTTTCCCGATGACGGAAAATTAAATTATATCGATAAACTACGAGAGTGTATATGAGCATGAAACACTATGTGGATGAAATAAAGGTATACCAAGTCCAGAATTATGTTCCCTTGTGGCAAATAATTCTTGTATATTTTACAGAAAATGTTATTGTATTAAAAAAAAAGGCAATTAGGATGGATTTGATAAGTAAGTGGACCGGGTAGTTATCGGGAAACTTGAACTGCCACTAAAATTTTAGGGCAGAGTTAGTATTATCATATTTTTATCTTTCTCCCTCACAATGCACCAGATTTAACGAACAAACCTTACTCCGACTAACTATGTCTATGTATTTACAGATTGCAAGAAAACAAAAATATATATATATATATATATTATCTTCCTGAACATGCATGAAATATTTGCCACTGTACGTTAGGCAACCAACAACAAATCAATTAAAAACATATTTTGTTTTGAATATGTATTGTACTAATGACTCAAATGTTAATTTATAAAAATCTAAAATAGTACATTTTAGAACACAGTCTCTGTCTAGATTACAATTTCCGTATGTGTTCAATGGTCACAATATTGATATTGTTTCTCAATATACATATCTAGGTTTATTGAGCATTTAAGCTATGATACTAAAATAGCAAAAGCAGTTGCAAAAACTGCTAGTAGATCGTTTGGTTTGTTGATAACTTAATGTAAAGCTATCGGTGATTTTATATATTGCACATATATTATATTGTTTGATACCTTTAGATGGTCTGTTATAGATTATAGTGTCTGTACTTGAGTTGAAGAACCCGTGATTTTTCGTGCATGAATAGTGTACAAAATAGCGCCATGCGTTTTTTCATGGGTGTTGTAAAATATACACCTTATATGTCTTTGTATGGTGACATGGGGTGGTTGCCATGCAAAATCAAACAGTGGTCTAGATGTTTTTTAGAAATTGGACAAGATCGAATAAAATGAATGATGATAACATTAAATACAAAAGTGTATAAATGGGGTAACACATGTAGAAGAGTAAAAAATTGGCATTTTAGAGTGAAAAATAATGTTAAACAACTTGATGTAGAATATTTGTGTAATGACGCTATTCTAAGCAAGGTTTTAATTAAGAATATTGAAAATGTATCTTATGAAAAATATAAGGAAGAATGGTATGAAAAATCATATCAAATGATAAAAAAAAAAATATACATATGGGCTGTTAACTTAGTGTCTTTTTGTTGTGGGGATGTATAAGTACCCTTCTACGTCCACTCTATGTTTTTGTTACTTGTTTTTGCTTTGTATCTATATGATGAGTCAAGCCCTTTTCAACTGATTTTTATAGTTTGTTCATATGGTGTACTGTTATACCACTGTCCCAGGTTAGGGAGAGGGTTTGGCGCCCGCTAACATGTTTAACCCCGCCACATTATGTATGTGCCTGTCTCAAGTCAGGAGCCTTTAATTCAGTGGCTGTCGGTTGCTGTATATCATATTTGTTTTTCGTTCATTATTTTGTACATAAACCAGGCCGTTAGTTTTCTCGTTTGAATAGTTTTGCATTTGTCATTTCGGGGCCCTTTATAGCTGATTATGCGGTATGGGCTTTGCTCATTGTTGAAGGCCGTACGGTGACCTATATTTGTTAATTTCTGTGTCAGTTGGTCTCTTGTGGAGAGTTGTCACATTGGTAATCATATCACATTTTCTTATCTTTATGTTAAACATGTATAAGGTGTAGAAAACGATCTGACTTTTAATATACCTGGTAGATAAAAGGCCAATTTGAATTGAAACTTAGTGTGACGAAAATATGGATAGAGAAATAGAGTATGTTTTAATTGTACTGATGATGCTGAAGATGAAAAGCATGTTTTGTAAAACAGTCCTGTATATGCAGATATCCGTTATTTTTAATCATGCTTGTAATTAATGATGATGAGATTATTTACATATGGCTGATACTGACAAATTGATATTTCTTAAGTGTTATAAATGAAAATATAGTACGTTATACTGCCAAAATCTGCAATGAGATTTGAATAAAGCGAAATTGTATTTTATATTAACGATAGTTGACTTTATTTGTATTATACTAAATTGTTTTATAGTCTCTCATTACTCTTCATAGAGTGGCTGTTGTTGTTCACTTGTGTTTTATTATGCTTGTATATTTTACGTAACAAGTGGTGAGACTTTAATAGTATTTTTCTTAGTCTTGTCAACATTAAAAACAAACTTTAATGATTAATTATTGTTTTTTTTCTGGATAAAAGTCTGCACAATGTCCTTCTCCCCTAGGAGTTTTAGGTATGGTTGCCTTTCAAAATTAGGGATTTTCGTATTTTTCGAATTTTTAATGCTTGAAGTTATACAAAACGAGTTTATAGTATTATAATGTTACTATCCATCTTCCACGTTTGTTTACCTTTTCTTTCATCATAATGTTTCCCTCGCACTTGTGCTGTGCGGTTATCAAAGTTCTAACGAGAGGTCCCATTGTTCTTGTCACTGCATACGGAAAAGCTGTCGACGAATAATAGTACGGGAAGACACAAAATCAATTGTTTCTGTGAATTTGGAGAAGATAAAGGATTTTCGTTAAAAGAAAGTCACTGTACACGTGTTTTATAGTAGAAAATAGTCATTCAAGTGTATACAACATAAATTATTGAAGTGTTTTGTTTAAGTGTGGAGTATTATAAGAGTTTAATACGAGAGAGCAATCACTGTCAACTTACAATATACTAGAACACACCCGCGAAATCGCGGGCATTTAGAGCGTGGATGAAAGTATGTAAACTGTTAAAGGATGATTTTTTGTAAAAGATTTTATGACTGGAGAATTTCAAGAAAGGTATCAAAAGTCATATTTAGCCCTCCCACTTTTTTTCAAAGTCCGTTATTTTTTTGTTATCTGTTAATTTTAATAATTTTCGCGTTAAACATACATATACTATAAATAACGTGTATTTGCTATTTACTATCAATTCCAAGTTTACTATCCGGCACGACTCTCTATATAAGGGATAATATAACAGTGACCGCTGTGGATAGTAAACTTGGAATTGATAGTATATAGCAAATACACTTTATTTATAGTATATGTATGATCATAGTATATTCGCGAAATTGTCCTGTCCCCAAGTACTTATGAAAATTATCACGTTGACTGTAATTCGCCGTTTCAGAATCTAATGCAACCTGGGTAATATTTCCAAAAGCGTACACCAAAACGTTGTGATTTGTTTAAAACGTTCTAAATAATGGAAATTCAACTAATGACGTAACGTTATTTTCATTTTGGTGTACGAACAATGAGATTACCCATAGTCCTTTAGATTCTGAAACGGCGAAATTAAAACCGTCCTAAACGGAAGTCTTGTCTATGACCTAAAAGTCCGTCCGATGACGGAAACAATATCCGGACGCCCTTATTTTCGTTTTCCTCTCAAAATAACCCAAACTGAATAGTCACAAGCGAGGATGATAAATGCGACTATGCATAGTACCTATAGGACACAGAGACATGATGATAAATTTCTTGTGGAAGGAAGAGAAGCGACACACAAAATGAGGTCTTCTCATTTAATAGTATAGATGTACATTGTCAGAAAATACAAAATTTATTTGTACGATATTTAGAAACAGCTGAGCTTTTCTCCTGTTTCGTAGCGAGCACAAATACATTTTATATTTCCGACAATGTACATATATTATTTTTATTCTACAATTTATAACCGGCACTTGAAGCATTAGTTGTATAAATCCAAATCCTTGTCTCTGATTTTTCATAGAACTCGGACCGCGAAGAGGACCCCAAAATAAACTGTTACTTAAAAAATATTCATATTACCGTTTGCTCAAGTACAAGTACAAATAAAGCAACAATGTGTTTGTGTACCTGTTATTTGTACAATAGTTGGCTGATTGCAAGGTAAAAAATGTTATCGCGTGTTATATAGTAAAATGATATGGCCGTATTAGCACATACTGATAGGCTGACAAAATCTGTCTCAGATCTGATAGATGAAGTTTATATACCTTAACGTTATTTAGTATTTATATTCATAGAGACATACATGTATATAGGGTATTTTGTATGTCTCTGGTATATATGTACAATGTAATACATAAATAAAATGCTTCCCTGTAATGCCCAGGCGAGTTGATATTCCAAATAGTATTTCTTTTTTTTTTTTATTTTAAAATGTTACGTGCGTTTGAGAAGACGAACAAGAACTTAAAAGGTTTGGTACCTATTAAAACGTTTAAACCCGCTGCATTTGTTTGTACCTGTCCTAAGTCAGGAACCCGATGTTCAGTGGTTGTCGTTTGTTGATGTGGTTCATAAGTGTTTATCGTATCTCGTTTTTTATATAGATTAGACCGTTGGTTTTCCCGTTTGAATGGTTTTACACTAGTAATTTTGGGGCCCTTTATAGCTTACTGTTCGGTGTGAGCCAAGGCTCCGTGTTGAAGACCGTACTGTGACCTATAATGGTTTACTTTTATAAATTTTGACTTGGATGGAGAGTTGTCTCATTGGCACTCATACCACATCTTCTTATATCTATATAAAATAAAATTAATGAAAAAACAAAAAAACAGTCTTACATGTACATATACATGTACATATACATTGCATATCTATGATCAATCACAACCGATTACACGGGCTTATTATGATCAACCAGACATATACTGGTTAAACAAAGTGGAAAACCCAAAGAGCAAATATAAGGGACAATAGGACTTGCAATCCTATATATTGTAATATATATATGAGATGTGGTATGATTGCCAATTAGACAATTATCCACCATAATTCAAAGGAAGTGGATGTAAGCAATTATGGGCAACCGTACGGCCTTCTACAATGAGAAAAACGCATAGTCCGTTATAAATGACCCGATATTAATAATATGAAACAATTCAATTAAGAAAACTAACGTCCTAATTTATAACAAAACAATTTACGAATAACAAATATGACAGACATGAATGACAAACACTGAGCTGTAGATGACTGACATGGGACAGGCACATACAGAATGTGGCGGGGTAAAGCATGCTTGAAGGCACCAACCCTCCCCTTGCCTGGGACAGTGATGTAACAGTTCAACATAAGAACAAAATACAAAAATATTTTAAATCATGCTTATGACTACAATAACAGTTGTAACATGTAACACAGAATTTTGATTTGATGTAAAAGAACTGTGTCCTGAGGGCTTAGTGATGGATGTCTTCTCATTTACATATTTTGTTTTAAATGTACAGAATAACAATAACTTTCTACGTTACGACATTTAACACTTCATATATATAACATTTATATATTCATATAACGTACCTGCCACCACAAATACACAAACTTGTACCATCATTTTTTTAACTTCCATTTTTAAGTCCGTACATCAAATGAATACGTATTTATTTAGATTTCAGTTTCACCGTAATGTTATAGACACAGACGAGTCCCTACGTCATGTGCATACAGTCCCACACTAACAAACACAAGTAATAAATCTTTAAGTGGTTGTGGCTATTTTACGTTGAAAAGGTGTAAACATTGATAACCATATTCTAGTCTCCAATTACATGTCAACAAATGAAATAATGAACTTTTACACATGTCAAACGTTTTGATATATAATACAGGTAAGTGTTTACATAAATTATCTGTAAAAAAATAAATTAAAGTTAATTGTTTTTTTTCCTATGTAAAAAAATATTTGCATGAACGGTACTATATTCTTTTGATTTAGATTCATTACGTTTCCAATCGAGGGTAAGTCTATGATACAGTCTGAACTGTTTAGTTTTCATTCGATCACAGTGTAGATATTATATTAAAGAAACGACACGTTTCGAGGGTCGCCCTTTACAAACGTTGTGTATTTATACAATGTTCCGTCCATAAATAAAATTGATTGAATGTTGGTTGCTAAATGTCAAGTGGCAAATATTTCATGCATGTTCAGGACGATAGAAATAAGAAAAATGAAACCAACGGTCTGATTTATGCTAACGAAATAACAATGCTCGGTCAATAAAAAATGGATTGATTGTTGGTTGCTAAATGTCAAGTGGCAAATATTTCATGCATGTTCAGGACGATAAAAGTAAGAAAAATAAAACCAACGGCCTGTTTTATGCTAACGAAATAACAATGTTCCGTTCATGATTAAAGTTGATTGAATGGAATGTTGGTTGCTAAATGTCAAGTGGCAAATATTTCATGCATGTTTAGGACGATAGAAATAAGAAAATAAAACCAACGGTCTGATTAATGCTAACGAAATAACAATGCTCAGTCCATAATTAAAATTGATTGATTGTTGATTGCTAAATGTCAAGTGACAAATATTTCATGCATGTTCAGGGTGATAGAAATAAAAAAAAAATAAAACCAACGGTCTGATTTATGTTAACGCAATAACAAAAAAAAACCTAATATGATAGACAGCAACCTACGACAACGACTGGAAGTACAGGTCTTTATTTATAAGTCATCATTGTACATAAATGAAAGAAAAAACAGTGTGATACAAACACACACAAATAATAATAATACGGACATGTGCCATTATCGAGTTCAGGGGCCATAAGTCTAAATACCGGTTTTCTGTAGGAGTTTGTGTTATCAAAACAATGCAACGTACTCAATAAGATGAGAGGCTTATTAATTCCTTAAACAATTGTGTAAGCATTTTATTTTGTACAACTAATGTGACTACAGTTTCGTTGGTGAAGATTTCACAGAACTAAACGTTATGGCTGGCCATTACCCGTGTTAATCAAGAAACTAGCTCTTGACTAGAGAAATATTGACGTCAAGTATAATTTTGCATCGTCCAAATATATTTTTATAAATTGAGAAATGAAGTTATATATATCGGTATTTTATACAAACAAGACTGATGAAATAAGTTCAACATACAAACGAATTGCATTTCGAGCAGGCGAGTAAAAATTGAAGGTTTACATTCAATGAACTATCGTCTTAATACCCAGTAAATTGAGTCTTCTCATTACTTTGCTTGTTCTCATTTAAATAAATCTAATTCAAAATAAATAAAAAGTATATAATCCACTCAGCATTGAACACACAGTCATACATTTACACAACATTATTTTGTTATGAAAAAGAAGAAGAAAAAAAAAACGGTAACAAGTTTAGTACTCTCACTTTAATGTTTGTTGGTAATGTACTGTTTGAAAAAGCAAATTATGGTAAAATTTCGTTTGTTTAACTGTCGCCAATTTTATCTTTCTCAAGGATTATTGTCCCGTTGATACACATATATATACTACTAAAATAACGAGGTCCAATTTGTTAGCCGGCATGACGTAAAAACGACGAATCAAAGAATTCAACTTTATATATTATTAATATAGGATAATGATGTTGATTAAAAATTACACCATTCCAGGCCCTTAATTTTGTTTTCCACATAATTGATTACCGGGTAACTTGAGATCCGGTCTAATTAGTCATACGCTTCACGCCACAATGGGGTCACTACCGGGTCACTTGAGACCCGGTCTAATTAGTCATACGCTTCACGACACAATGGGGTCAATCTGATAATGGATTCTCATTGGTAAATATTAGCTTATTTCGTATGAAGTAAAGGCTTTCTTAACGTCTGATTGGGTAATATTGAGGTGCATCTATTATATGTGAGCGTAACCGTAAGTGAGACAGGAAAGAAATCATGATAGTAGGCCATGCAAATGACAGTGAAGTGTTCATTCAAGTTAATAGTGAAGTGTTGAATCGATATTTCAATGCCGCAAGGTCATACGCAAAAGTGATTTAAATTAATTGAGTTTTGTTCTGTCTTTATTATTCAATTGTTTTTGCATCAGATAAAAATATTATTCTAACTTTCGTATTCATAATTACCTTGTTAGTGTGTATTAGATCCTGAGTTACAAAATCATTACAGTTATCACTCATGCATAACGTTATACAGGATAATAATAGTACACGCTTATCTATAAATAGCCGAAATAAGACTTCTTTTCGATTAATTTTAATGTCCATTTGTCCCGGGTCATCACGCCAACGTCCATCACGGTACAGGGGAAAATAATAATTAAGACTTCATACGTTTAATACAAGAAGCTTTTTCGGGAAGGGGATCTTATACACAGAGGCGTCGGTAAATGTACGTTTTGAAAGCGAGTATACAAAAAGTTATCTCGAAAAGCATGTGTAACCCCGCCGCATTTTTGCGCCTATCCCAAGTCAGGAGCCTCTGGCCTTTGTTAGTCTTGTATGTTTTTTTTTTATTTTAGTTCATTTATATGTTTCGGAGTTGAGTAGGACGTTCATTTTCACTGAACTTGTACACATTTTTGTTTAAGGGGCCAGCTGGAGCCCGCCTCCGGGTGCGGGATTGTCTCGCTGTGTTGAAGACCCATTGGCGGCCTTGGGCTGTTCTCTGCTCTTTTGGTCGGGTTGTTGTCTCTTTGACACATTGCCCATTTCCATTCTCAGTTTTATGTATGTACAAATATTTAAAGCATTGCCAGATACATTTGTGTAAACAAAAGAAGCTGTAGGGTATCATAAATAAGACAGCAACACAATTAACATCAACACAATTAACATCAACGCTATAAATAAGGTCAACACTCGGGTTTCTTCAATGGATACATGTCTTTACAGTATTTCAAGCACTAAATTTTCCAAAAAATAAACAATTGTGGATAATTTTACAAAGACTTTCAAAAATATGCAATCAACACAAAATCCCTTAAACAGCGAAATTAAATACACAAATTTAGAAGACCTTAAGGCAATGAACAGGAACGAACTCCGGAGTGTTTGCTAACATCTGAGAAAACAAAATCACAGCTTCATGAAGATGTTTGTATTATAATGTTCTGATAAATGGTAAAACGTTGAACTTTGATCAATGCGTTTAAATAGTGCTGGCAAATATTCAAAACCGTAGTCTTAGTATATGTTTTGCAACGGTCCAGAAAATTAGCCAGTCAAATATTTATAACATAAAATTAAGAAGATATGGTATGATTACCAATGAGGTAACTTTCCACCAGAGACAAAATGACATAGATGTTAGCATATATACGTCACCATACAGCATTTAACAATGAGAAATACTCATACTGCTTTGTAAGATATAAAAGGATCCGACATGACAAACGTAAAAAAAGTTCAAACGACATAACCAACGGCATGTCATTATTTATGCACAAAACAATCAAAGACTGACAGCAGGTGTAATTCACAGCAACAAACGATAACCAATGAAATTCAGGCTCATGATTTTGGTACAGGAACACAGCGGACTTGGCGGGGTAACCATGTTTGCGGATGCCCAGCCCACCCCTAACCTGGGACAGCTTTGTGTTAAACCGCATCATTAATCATTAAATACGCTGTTCCTTTGCTTTTGTGTTTTTGCTGTGCATGTACTGATACCTAACTCTTAAAAACCAGTTGAAAAGGGGTTGACTTATCGGATTGATTCAAAGCTAAGAAAACGATTAACAAGAAGACCAATATACTTCACCGTTGTAAGACCTACATGTACCATAGAATACGCTTCTCCAGTATGGGACCCGCACCAAATCACCATCATACGAGATATCGAGCAAGTACAGAGACGAGCAGCTCGCTTTGTCTATAGCTGCTATCAGGATAACCCTCCAGGATGTGTAACTAAATTACTGGACCAACTTCAATGGGAATCATTCCAGCACAGAAGTGGAAACAGAGTTTTGTGCTGTGTTATAAGACCCAATACCAGTTGATTGCCATTGATCCATTCAAGTACTACACATCAGGTGATAGTAGGACCAGAGTCAACAGCAGCCGCAGACAAGCTAGAGTAAAGAGAGACGTATATTATCATGCCTTCTTCTCGAGAACAACAAGAGAATGGAACAAAATACCAGAATCTGTAGTGGAGTCCGGATCATTAGAGGACCTCAGGGCAAGAGTGAATACCATCTCCTGGATCAAGCCACATCTTAACTAGACAGCAGGACACCCAGTGTACATATTTGTAAATACGCACTTACTGATTTTAATGTAAATACCATCCAGTTTTTCTGGACTTTTACTGTTGTCAAAAGGAGTGGTCTCCTGTCTGTTTGAGATGCGCCCGAGTCAATAACACTCAATTGCAGAGTCCGACTCGTAACCGGGAAGAAGAAGAAAGACAGAAAGTACCGATCAGAGAGTCACCACACATGTATTTATTTTACTTCATAACATACCAATTTGTCATTTTTTTCAGAACCGAAAACGCAAGTGATTTAGAAATTAAACCTTTACCAGGAGTTAAAAATGACAAAGAACAAAATTAAAATTGTAACCCTTAAAATACAACATTGACCTTTCCTCTATTCTAACCCCCCCCCCAATTACAATTTATAGAGCAATATTTTGAATGGATGAAAATACAAAGCAAAAAAAAAAAGTTATCAGCATAATAAGCTAAAAAACGGCAAGCTTTTTGGAAAAGCTATTACTTGTATTATCATCAATTAACAAGTTCCGGGTCGAATATCCTGGTTCCCGGTACTA